TTCATTAATCTGTTAATATTTATTCTTTAAAAAAAGATTTATTTTATTTTAGTGTGTGTGTGTGTGTGTGTGTGTGTGTGTGTGTATGCTTGAGTGCAGTACTCCATGGAGGCCAAAGATGTTGGATCCTCCCAAGAGCTGGAGTTACAGGGGTTTGTGAGCTACTTGATATGGGTGCTAGGAACTGAATTCAGGTCCTCTGCAAGAGCAGTACACACTCTTAAGCATCCCTCCAACTCCCATTAATGTTTTGTTTAACTGTTACTCTCTTGATGCTAAAACCACACTCAGCTTTTCCCCGACAATGTGTTTACATGTTCACATTCCGTCAACAGAGGGCAGCAGACGACCGCTCTCCTGTTCACTTAATCTTGGTACTTCCGTGGATGAACTTGGAATAGACAAGATGTTATATTCTGAATTGTCATTTGTTGCTGCTGGTCACCAAGAATGAGGGGAAAGTGATGACAGAGGCTCTTCCACATTAAAAATCACTCTGCTAACTGAACTACACTACCAGTCCACAACTAGTTTTTCCCAGCACTTAAACCTACATGTGGAAGCCATTTTCATGAACTGGAAATAGAAAGGAGCCAAGTAAGCAACAAATTTGCTGCTTTTTCTCTTTTCATTTGTCAATGCTACCAAATCATTTAATTGGAAACATAAATCAGCAGCAGCTGCCTTGGGTCACAGCATTGTATTTCAGTGCCTGTGTAGATTTGGTAGATCAATCCTGACATTTTCCTATTCACTTGAAAAAAAAAAAGAAAAAGAAAAAGGCAGTGCATTTAAAAGGAATCTAGAAAATTAATATCCATGAAGGACACTGGACATTTAGTAATTATATAACAATCCTGAGATTCACAGGGGAGCTGCCCTTAGTTTCCAACACCCCACCACCCAGAAGGACTATTTACCCTGGTGTTTCTAAATGACAGGACTATGGCTAGGAGCGCTGTGTGACAATCAGAGAGAACAGACCTGAAAACGGCTTCATAAGGCATTGTAGGCCACATGGGGACTGCAGTTCATTCCCAGAATATCGAATTCCTGCTCTTTCTGTAAGTAACAATAGTGATACTTCATAATGTCAGCGCATCTGACTCTTTTGTTTCATAAAGGTTGAAAGCATGAGTTCTGTAGTTAGCTGAGTCTTCACACAAACGAAGATCACCATTAGGAATTTGGGGACCTGAAGAAACTAACATGGCCACTCTGAACCTCAGTTTTCCTTGTGAAACAGTACTGGTAACTTTCAGAGCACAAACAATTGTTGTTTGGATGGGCATTTAATAAGAATTTTTTTGTCTATATTGAGGGAAATTCTGCTTTATTATCAGTGGCTGACTGAGGGTTCTGGGGAGGCCTCTTGAGGTACTTATGCAGTATGAAAGAACAGGAAATTAAGTACATGGCAGATGGGGGACAGGGTTGAATTTTATATGGTGCAAAGATGATACTGAGCCCTGCCTTTCCTTATGACTATAGCTTTTTGAGTTTTAGAAGAATAAACAAATATTCATTTCAATTTTTTTCTGGCATGGAAAAAAACATACATATAATGAAAAAAGTTAGATATTTAAGTCTATTGGTGAAATTATTAAGGCCACTCCACGTAGTTAAAAAAGGAGGTTTATTTAGTGGCGTAACTTACAAATAAAGGGATAGGTAGGTGGCAGGGTCTAGGGAAGACATAGCGCAGTCCAGCGGTGTTCTCTGGAGAACTCTGCTCGGTCTACCTCCAGCATCCAGGGTCCAGGAACCAAGCGAGGCAGTGCATCCAGATCTTGGGTCTTCAGGGTCCCCTCCTGGCCCTGCCTTGTAGGCGTGACAGTTACTGAAGCCTCGATGGGGGTTGGAACTTCCAGATCAAAGCTGGAATGGCTACCCACTACATCTCCTCCTTTTGTCTAAATAAGAAGGTTCTAACCTAATACAAGACTATATACAAAGGAATGGTTATCAAATATTGTCCAGGAGTAATGAGGGATATTGACCTATATAAGATGGAACTACAACCAATGCGAACAATATCAAGCAAGAAACACATACTAAAATCCAGAGAAGTCTGGAGCATAGGTAAATGGCATGTTACAAAGATCATTCCAAAAGGTGTCCTATCCTAAAGAGCCTGAATCTAATACTTAATATGTTCTAAGATATTATATATATACATATATATGTACACACACACACACACACACACACACACACACACACACATATATATATATATACTAAGTTGTAACTATAACTGCTAATCTTCATTCCCATCAAAGACCTGAGAAGGAATATAATGGTACATGAGAAATGGTAGATGGCTGCAAGCAACTTTCAGGAATCTTGTAAGAGTAGACCAAGACAGCTGGCAGCCTGGACAGTCACCTAATGTTTCTCAGCATTGTTGGTGCATTCAAACTGGCTACAGGCCTAGAGTATCTGACAGACCATTTTTAGAAGCAGGAATTCTGAAAGACCATCTTACCCGACAGTGGTCGCTTTCCTTGTGTCCTGCTTGTCCAGAAAGGACAGCATTCATACTGTCAGCAGTCAAGGCAAGGGCAGTTCTTTGCCCACTAGGCCATTTTGTGCCAAGAAGACAAACTTCTAAATGGAAATGTCTTAGAAGTCCAATGTTCTCTTGGGATCAAATTGGTGCTGCCAGGAGCAATTGTGTTTCATGTCAACAGAATTCTAACTTATTTAAATGCCATATTCTCTAGGTCCATGAAGTGTTTGAAGATTACCTGTCCATCCGACCTATGTATCTATAAATCTGGATAACCTAACTACCATAACTATAGAGATGACAAGCATAGGCGACTATAAATCTATGTCTTATCTACCGAAATAACCTAAGGACTAACACTTCATGTAAACAAGGTAAACAGTCTATAAGCAAATTACGGTAAAGGACAATGACTTCAAAATTGTGAAAATACACAAAATATAACAGAGGTAGGTATATATAGTGTGATATGCAGTATGACAATAATCTTAAATATATATCAGTAGCTAGAATATCCTAAACAGAAGTAGAACATACATACAGTATGACAGATATAAATTTACATTTGTATCAATATACAAATATCTCAAATAAGAGTAGAAATATATGTACATTATAACAAATATAGTTCTGTATTTGTATCAATATACAAATTATCTTAAACAGGAATATAAAAATAGTTTACATTTGTATCAACATATAAGAATCCATAACAGTGCAAATTATTTAAGGCTGCCATTTTACTAAATTTGTTTACTAGAATATATAATAATCTACCATAATACCTTATACCTATCCATTCCATTTCTTCTTTTCTTTTTTTTTTAGACACTTTTTATTTTCTTAAGGAGAATAGTGAGTTTAATATTTTCTTCCACCCCCAACTAGCAGAGAGTAGAGAGCAAAAGGAGAGGAAGGCAGAGGGGAAGAGGCATGCTTCCCTGCCCTCGTGGAGTATATCTTCCCAGGTAGCCGGACCCTGGTGCCAATCTATAGAGATGTATGCTAGAATAGAATTGTGTGTGGCAAAATTTTAGCTTCCTCAAAATCTGAGTACAGATTCCACCCCCAAGGTAATGAGTCAGACACATTAGGACAGGGTACCTGGGAAAGGGAGGAGACGCCAACCTGCCATCAAGGGAGCATCATGTAGAGGCAACAGGTAAAGCCATGGAACACGTGGCAACATACAGATTAACAGAAATGGGCTTAGTGTAAGAGTAAGAGCTAGACAATGGTAGGCCTGAGCTAATGGCCGAGCAGTTTAAATAATATAAGAGTCGGTGTGTTTATTTTATAAGTAGGCTCCAGGACTGGTGGGGCTTGGCAGGAGCTGGAGAGAAATTCTCCAGCTACATAAGTCTCCTCAAATAAGGAATTCAGGAGGATGACTTTATACTTTATTCATTGGCACATTTCATTCCTCTGTGTTATGCAAGAGAAACTTGAACAACATAGAGGCCAACAGGAGTCAAAGAGCGAGCCCTGGAGAGCCGGTGACAGCAGGCCAGAGTCAGCAGACCCATGCTGCCTCGTGACAGGTCAGGCTCCTTGCTCCAGGAACAAGACCAAACTGGCATGCTTCCCTGCCCTCGTGGAGTATATCTTCCCAGGTAGCTGGACCCTGGTGCCAATCTATAGAAATGTATGCTAGAATAGAATTGTGTGTGGCAAAATTTTAGCTTCCTCAGAATCTGAGTACAGATTCCACCCCCAAGGTAATGAGTCAGACGCATTAGGACAGGGTACCTGGGAAACTATATTTTTAGTGTGAACTTCTAACTCAGCCTCTTTATGAGTGTAGCGTATATGTTTTCAGGGCACTCTGAGGCTTGTGAAGTTGTGTATACTGTCTTTCTCTGATGCCCCTTCTTTCCTATGAAAGGGATGGGAAAGTACACTATAAACGGCAAAGCATGATACAAAGTCAGTTAGATAGAGTTCTTAGGCTCCTTCGGCAAACTGAGTAAATCCAGGTTAAACATGACCAGTAATGCACCTTGTGATGTTTTAATCCTCAAGAGGCTGCCATATAACTATGGCTGCATACCATTCTAGCACTTATGTTCAAGATATCTTGATGCATTTTTCAGGATGTGTCCCCAAGCCACACATCACTCTAATGAAGTCAGTGTATAGTTGTTTGTTTTTCACTCTTTTGGCCCTTTTGGGGGCCCTGCCACCCAGCTCCCAAATAAATACGCACAGAGGCTTCTTCTATCCTATAAATGTCTGGCCTTAGATTGGCTTATTTCTAGTCAGCTTCTCTTAAATTATCCTGTCTACCTTTTGTTTTGTTTTGTTTTTTTCCTTTTCTTACTTCTGAATATCTTACTTTCATTCTAACTCAGTGGCTGGCTGGGTGGCTAGGTGGCTGGCCCCTCGATTCCTCCTCTTTTTCTTGTTCCTAGATCTTCACTTCCCCCAGATTTCTCCTCCTATTTATTCTCTCTGCCTGACAGCCCGCCTGTCCTTTCTCCTGCCTTGCTACTGGCCATTCAGCTCTTTATTAGACCAATTAGGTATTTTAGACAGGCAAAGTAACACAGCTTCACAGAGTTAAACAAATGAAACATACAAGTATACAATACATCCTTGCACCATTAAATAAATGTTCCATAGCATAAACAAATTTAACACATTAATATTCTACAACATCAGTGTAGAACAGAAAGAGGCAATCCTTCTAGCTTCACAGGCCTCCAACTGTGCTAGTTAGTTTTTTGTTAACTGGACACAAGCGAGGTTCATCTGGGAAGAGGGAATCTCAAGAGAGAAAAAGCCTCCATCACACTGGTCTTTAGACGAGGCTGTGGGAGCATTTTCTTGATTAATGATCAATGTGGTGGTAGGGAGCAGCCCACTGTAGCTGCCCTAGGCAGGTGGTCCTGAGTTGTATAAAAAAAAGCAAGTTGAGCAAGCCATGTGGAGCAAGTCAATAAACAGCATTTCTTCATAGCTTCTGCTTCAGTTCCTACCTTCAGATTCCTGCCTGTCACCTCAGGGATGGACTTCTACCTGTAAGTATAAGATGGAATAGACTCTAGCCTGCCCAACTTGCTTTTGGCCAGTGTTTCCCCCAGTGACAAAAACCAAACTAAGACACCAACAAAATCTTTATTACTCTTCTCATATAGAAGGCTCTGGTTTCTAGCTCAAATATGGTAACCTCTTAAGGCCCTTCTACTGCTGGCCAATAAAGCAGAACTGAGCACTCACCCCACTTCAGTAGTTTCATCTCGAAAAGTCATAAAACATCACATTCTTCTAGGGTACTAGAACTTTTTGCACCATGACAGAAATATTTAGTAGGCAGAATCTATGTAATAATGGTCACAAGGTTCTCAAGCCCATGAATGTTCAGCTTTCTCAACCAACCATGAAGTTTAAATTCAATATATAAAATCCAGGATGACATAGAAACTGGCTGGATAAACAGAGAGTAGAGAGGACACTAAACTCCCATTTGAGATATAATGAATGACAGGCGCCTTTGGGACATCCAGGTGATGATGCTATGCATGACTAGAAATAAAGAGTGTGGAGATCTGAAGGTTGAGTAACATAAGTGAGTAGGGACTCTAGCCTGTATGGGGAGTATGGGGGTTGAAATTTATTTCCAATAATACATTTAATATGGTGGAGACATAGCAGACTCCAGCTGGAGGTGGCAGGGAGCTTGCATAGTAACAAAGGAAAACTTACCAGCTTACACAGTAACATGTGACCCAAGGCGAAGAAGAGAACAGTGAATGAGCCTCAAAAAAAAAAAGGATTCAAAAATGAAGATGTGGATCATGAAAGCACAGAGTTGGAAAAGCCTATAGGAAATTAAAATTTCTAAGATTAATCACCCCAGTCAAATACCACAGAGTAGCTACAAGGATGGCAATGGAAGAGAAGCCACTCTGTCCCCAAACACGATGTCATTGATGGCATGTCAACAAGCAGCCGAATAGAAGGGTATGGGAACGATTTCCTCTCAGGCTTCGCCAGGCATATTTATCTGTCTCCTTCTCTTCATATCTGTGATTATTTTCTTCACTGGTAATCAGTTATGTCCATGTTGTCACTGAACCTCAAGACAGGGCTGCCTCGAGACAAGTCAGCTGGACTTGTCCTCACCCTACTCCCAGCCTTCCACACACTGTCGTCTTAACTCCCAGGAGGACGCTAACATTTTCTTTTAGGGTTCATGGTGAACATCTAATATGGTGGGCACTCAAGAATTTGGGAAGTGGGTGGAAAGTGTCCTCTTCTGTTGGAATACAATAAATTATATCTCCCCTTCAAAATTAAAAACAGTATGGGGTAACATTGGTTATCATGATGGGAGAGGCATATATTGAAGCATGAAAGTCAGATACACTGAGGACTGAATCCACTGTGGCATATTTCATACCTGCCAACTCTTCATTGATGGTTAGAAGAATTGAATGACACATAAAGATTCAACACCAGGGCTCTATTCCATTGGAAAGTGTTACTGAAGGGACACCAGCCCACTCCAGCACGTGGCTCTGGCAGGCCTTGCCCTTCTCCCCAATTCCTTCTGCTTTGCTAAAAACTGTTAGATTACATTCCTAAAGCTAGCCACCAAGGTCTATTCCCTTATTTGGCCACTTCCTCCACCTGAGGCTGACTACCAAGGTCCAGCTATCATGGGGTCCAGCAATCAGAAGCCCCCTTTGGCACACCTAATTAACATACCCAATTAAAATTAAACACCTCATGCTGTGGGATGTCCTGTATGCTGTGAATATATGTTGCTATGGTTGATTGATAAATAAAATGCTGATTGGCCAGTAGCCAGGCAGGAAGGATAGTGTAGGCGGGACAAGGAGAGAGGAGAATGCTGGGAGGTGGAAGGCTGAGTCAGGAGATGCTGCCAGCTGCCATGATGAGTAGCAAGATGTAAGTTGTCGGTAAACCATGAGCCACGTGGCAAGGTGTAGATTACTAGAAATGGGCTGAGTTTAAGTGTAAGAGCTAGACAGTGGTAGGCCTGAGCTAATGGCCAAGCAATTTAATATGAGCTCCTGAGTGATTATTTTATAAGCAGTTGTAGGGTCCGTGGGGCTGGTCAGGACTGGAGAAAACTCCAGCTACAACCTCATCCTAGCACAGGGGTTTCCCCCTTTACCTTTATAAACTGCCATTTACCCATGTGCCACATCTGTCTCCTCTCTATCCAGAGGCACTACATCTGTCTCCTCTCTATCCAGAGGTGGTCCTATGTCTCTCCAGGACAAACACTCCTCCCCCTTTCCTTTGTCCATTTCCCCTTCTCCCTCATCCCCTATCTCCTCTACCACTGCATCCTGGTCCATTCTAACACAGACCTCCCCTCTTTTTTTCTACTCTTATAAATTACACTTACAAGGTCATTTTCTGCTGTTTTTCTGCCAGACTCAAAAAGCAACCACTTTAACTTTTCTTCCTTGCTTAATAAAAGATCTCTCTGTGAGAACAAGTGTTTGGGTATGGTTTGTGCCTAATCCAGGGTCTAGAAGGGAGCTCCCATTGTGCAGGAGTCCCTTTCAATTATTATGTAGACTGGCCAGACAGATGAGAAAAACCAGCTCTTCCCCATGGACTTCAGGCTAGAGACTAAGCATGGTTAAAGACAAACACTATGACTTGATTGCAAGCACATTTCAAATGCTTACTGTCCCTCCTAATAAATTAAGCTGTTGGGGGCCAGACAGGTTTGGTCTTTAGATTTACAGCTGTCAAACATGTTCCTTGTATCCAGCTGCCTTGGGTGGGGATCTATCTACCAAGCAGCTCATCTTAGCAGCTGGCAAGACTGTCACCAGGGCACTGTGGCTGCTTTAAATGCACCACAGATGCCATGGGAAAATGCTGAGCCACGATTCCTGGGGAGATGTGACCAAATGGCTACTCACTCAGGACAGGAAATTGATGAGACAACAAAGTACAGATACTGTCAAAGTCCAACTTGGTGAACCCATGAGTTTTATTTGTGTTACTTACAGAAATATGTGTGAGGGGTCACTTACAGGAGCAGAAATGACTCAAAGACATCTGCACCATCAAATCCCACCCTAACACAGATGACAACTCACAAAAGCTAGAGACCTGAAACACAATGCACAGTGTACAAGCAATTCAGTGGTTTGGAAAGTGTCATGTCTAGGTGGCACGGTTGGTCTGAATCTCCTCCCGGCAGCTCTGCTGGTCTGTTTCTTCTAGGCAGTTCAGCTTAGCTTTGCTTCTTCCAGGCAGCTTGGCTTGTCTGAGAGTGACTCTGAACAGTTTTTACTGCTTCTGTATGTTTGGTGTGTGTGTGTGTGTGTGTGTGTGTGTGTGAATCTGGTCGGTTTCAGGGATTTCCTGAAGTTATTTTGAGTACTTCCTGTCCCTGCAGGGTGGAGAAATAGCCTGTCTTAAAATACCCTGCTGTTTCACCTTCCTTTTTATAGCTCATACGCTAAGAAGTTACCCCAAAATGCAAGATTGGGAGGATACTGCTACTCAACAGGCAGCTATTCCCCAGCCTCGAAGAACACTGCAACCACTGACTGGCTTAAGCTAAAACCTCTGCTCTGGGAGCCCCTGCTCCAGCCATGGCCTCTTCAGCGAACTGCACCGGCTTTGGAAGACTGCTCTCTGCAAGACAAAGCCAGTAAACGCTGTGATCCTGCTCATTGGGAAGCTGTTCTTTCTCCATACTAGAGACGGGAGTAACTCTCTACTGACTCTGGAAAAAAAACAAAACAAGAAACTGTGATTGGTGCACTGTGAGGCTTGTGATTGGTTTGCAAGTGAAGCCTGTGATTTTGTTTATTCAGCACTTGGGGTTGGTAGAGCTATGCACAGGCAGGGCTGTAACTGGTGGGATTACAATCCATTCGCAAGCAGGCCATGCCGGTCTTCTGGTTATGTAAGCAGGCTGTTTCCCCTAACTGTCTCATTAGTCTGGAAGGATTCTTTCCGGTGTCCTGCCTCCTGGGATTTCCATACTAGGCACAGTAACAGCACCCCATAAATAATCTCTTTGCCTACCTACGGTCTTTATCAAGCTAGGCAGGTTGTACTGAGGGAAGATAAGACTTTGAGATGTCCATATCTGATAGCGATGGCAGCAGCATTGGCATTGGCTGAGAGGAGGTAGCTGAAGAGTTCCAGAGAGTCACCATGAGCCAAGGGACCCAGCTGCCAAAGACCATGAGCCAAGGGACCTAGCCGCCAAAGCTCAAAGCACTAACACAGAAGGCAGCTAAGAGTCCCAGAGCCTTCCAAGAGCTCCGAGCTGTAACCCCAGAGAGCAGCTAAAGGATTTCCAGGACAGGGAGGGGCTCTGGAGAACAGAATGTAGACCAAGAGCTTGATCTCTTGAACAGCAAGGGTCCTTACACCTAGGTTCAAGAGTGGTAACTCTACCTGCTGCATGCTGGGCATTCTAAATCCTGAGCAATAGGCCTCTTCCTTGAGTACCTGGAGCAATAATAAGCCTCAGGCTTTGACAGCTTGGAACTGCAGCCTAGCCTATGAGTAGAAATCTACATTGATTTTTCCAAATTTGGACAAGAAAACCTTACCACCTTTCATCTAGAGCTAATCATGTCTTTGAATTCACATTGACCTGAGAGGCTAAACTGTGGTGATATTTTATTTGTACTGAAATGTTATTTTAATTTTATGTTAATAAATAAAGTTGCCCTGGGGTCAGAGCTATTAGAGCCATAGTAAGAGCGTGGTGGTTAGAAGAGCTAGGTAGATTTCTGTGTGTTCAGGGATACAGCCAGTATTGGAGACATACGCCTTTAAGACCTGGAGGGCGGTACTT